GCCCCAGTCTTGTCTGGACTCAATCAGAATAAATTCTCTATCTGGCATCTTTCACTCCGCTTTTTGACAGTGAAGTTCAACTGTGTTGCTGTCTATGGCATTTGAAAACCTTCATCCTGTGCAGTATTCCATTGAATGAATATATCACAACTTATTTAGCCACTTTCTTGTTAATGGAAATTTGGGTTGTTTCCAGTCTGGGGTTATTACAAACAAGGCTGCTTGGAATATTTTTCTTGCACTTATGACTTCATTTCTGTTTGGTATGTAGCTAAGAGTGGAATTTATGGTTCATAGGAAATACACAACACAGGAATTCTTTCAATAAGGATGGTGCTACTAATCTGAAGGACCTTTGTGAAGATCAAATGTAAAACTGTGAAGAAGGTCTAAGACAGTGCTTTGCGAGCTGGAGAGATGGTTCATCGGTTAAGAGCACTGGCTGCTTTTGCAGAGGACCTGGGTTCGATTCCCATTACCCACATGGTAGCTAATAAACTGTCCCTCCAATTCCAGGGGATTCAACACCCTCTTCTGACATCCATGGACACTGCACAACACAGGTGCACTTACACACATATACTCAAATACATAAAATAAAAATAATAAATAAAAAAAATTTTAAGGCAGTGCTTTGCAAATAGTAGGCACTTAGTAGATAGCTCCTGGTCCTTTCCATGTGAGCCCACCTTTGAAAGAACAACTAAAGTACTTATTGGACATGCTATGCTTGCTGTCCTCCTGGCCCTCTCTTTTAAGACCTGGACATGTCCCTAAAACCTGGCTCAGATTCCTTTACCCTGGGACTCTCTAGCTTTCTAAAAGGTGATGACCTAAAGGAGTCTTCCCCTTCATGACTTCTCATTCTTAGCTTTACTTGCTCTGAATGTGGTCCATCTTCTCTTTAAGTTTTCAGGCTCTTTCTGGTTTTATTTTCCTCTTTAATGTATGTCTGAGTTTGGAGTCGTTCTAAACATTATTCTCAGTCCTCAAGTTCAATCCTTATCCAACATGCCATCATCCCAGTGTGGATGAAACTAACCGTCAGCATTTCTATTCCATACCCAAGCTTCTGAACATGCCTGGAGAAAATAGCACAGCCATGCATATTAGTGCTTTAGTGCTCCATAGCCTTAGCCAAGCCCTCAAGGCTGCCAGAAAGCTTTGCTATGTACATCTCACTCCCCTGAGAGGTTATTCCAAAAGTCATCCTTTTTCTACAAACCCTATTGTCAACCATCTCTCTTTTTACCCTACCCAAAGGCTCTAGCCTCATGTTCCACTGAGAAACATGAAGCCATCAGGGAGATCAGGGAGGATGCCTGAAAACAGATCAGCATCCCTGTGTGCAAGCCTTCCTTCTCTTTCATCCCATGGAAATGACATCTTTTCTTCTCTCCTAGGCTGGTCTCTCCAAACCACTTTTTTTTTTTTTTTTTTTTTTTTTGGTCTTTTTGAGACAGGGTCTCCCTATAGCCCCAGCTGTCCTGGAACTCACTATGTAGACCAGGCTGGCCTTGAATTCACAGAGATCCGCCTGCCTCTACCTCCCAAGTGCTGGGATTAAAGGCAAGCGCCACTGCCCGGCACTTCCAACCACTTTTGTACTCCACTCTGTCCTGCCTCCACAGGGACCTTTGCGACTTTAAGCATCCCCTGCTTTTATGTTCAGCATCCTGTCTACTGTCTGCAGGTCTCAGTTCATCGTTTACTTCCTAGCCGAGCTATAGAAAAAGTATCATCACCCAGCATCACCTGCCAGTTTCTGCTTCATTGATGCAAGAACACCAGCTGTGATGGGGCCAAGGACCTCCCTGCTGCTCTGTCCCAGCATGTTTTGGTCTTCATTCTATTTGTTTGGTCTGGAATTTAACCACTCTCTCATTCTTAAAACATTCACTTCTTTTGGCAACAAGACACCACATTTGCCTGGTTTCCCTTTTCTCTAGCTGTTTGTCTCTCTGGTCTCAGCTGAGAGTCATTCTCCCTGTAATGCTTCCCTATTATTGTCCTCTAGGACTCTGCCTTTCTTCAGCACTCTCCCCAGGTGCCTTCATCCAGTCCTACAGATACTGCTCGGTGTCTGTCTCTAGCCCAGATCTCTATTTTGGGTTCTAGATCAGAGTGCCTCAAATTTAACCAGTCTAAAAATAAATTACTCACTGTCACCCCACCTTACCCCTAAACCTGCTTTTCCTCCTGCATTCTGTGCTATGGTGACTCAAAGCACCATCTAACGTGGCACGAGGGCATAGTAGTGGGGGTTAACCAGCTCTAATCCTCCCAGTTTTCTGACTTTGCTAGGGATAGCACCTTGCTTATTCTCCTCTGTGATCTCTAAAGCCCACCCTCCTCTCTCTTCTACCTCCATTACCTCCAATCATATCACTATCAGTTACCAAGTAGAAGAATGTCATGACCATCTATCTGATCTTTCTGTCTCTTTTCTCTCACCATCGCAATCCATCCTCCCCTCAGCTGCCAGAGCCTTGTTAGAAAATGAAATCATGATCTTGACACTCACTGCAGAAAAGCCTTCAATTGCTCAACTGAGCTTCCACAATCAAATTTACCTTCCTTAGCGTGGCTTGGAAGGCCGGTAGTGATCCAGCACCTCTGTCACTCTCAAGATACTAATTCTCCTTTCACCTCTACCCTTTGCTGCAGTTGTAGGCCATTCATTAGTTCGTCATAGCTGCCAAGCCTTGGCATGCTCCTTCGGTGCCTTTGAATGTTCCATCATCTCTAACTAGGATTCTAGGTCTATGTAACCCTTACTTCTCTTGTGAGGCTAAACTCACTTGCTACCTTCTTTAGAAAGCTTTTCTGATCTCCATTCTGGGTTGTATGGTCCATTTCCATGTTGACAATCACCATCTGCAGCTACTGGCACTTCACACCCCCCAGATACCCATAGCACATTGCTTCAGCATTGCACCTTTAGTTCTTCCCCAAACTATTATTTCTCCTCCCCTCCTCTCTTCCTCCCCTCCTTCCCTCCTCCCCTCCTCTCCTCCTCCCTTCCTCCCTTCCCTCCTTCCCTCCTCTCCTTCTCCTCTTCCCCTCTTCCTTCTCCATTAGTACCTCTTCCTCCTTCTTTTATTCAAAAAAATCTTTATTATTGTGTGGGTATGATGTGGGCAGCAGGCTCACATTTGTCACAGTGCACATCATGGCACATATGTGGAGGTCAGAGGACAACTTTTGGGAGTTAGTTCTCCTTCCACCATGGGTTCTGGGGATGGAACGCAGGTTTTCAGGCTCAGTGAGTAAAAGTGCTTGTTGCACAAGTCTGATAAGAAGGAGGAGAAGGAGGAAAGCCTGCAAATGCTATTTTTATTTTATTTATTATATGTGTGCCCATGCACACACATGCCACAGTGCACTTGTGAAAATCAGAGGTCAACTTGTGGAAGTCAATTCTCTCCTTCCACCATGTGGGTCCTGGGGATGGAACTCATGTCATTAAGCTTGGTGACAGGCTTCTTTATCTACCAAGCCAGCCCCAAATGCTATTCTTATCAAATCTATTTGAATACAAAAGTTGTGAACTCACCTATATTCTTCTGAGACTTTGCTGTTGTTGTTGTTGTTGATGGTTTTTTTGTTTTGTTTTATTTTTGGGTCTTTTTGAGACAGGGTCTTCCTGTAGCCCCAGCTAGCCTGGAACTCACTATGTAGACCAGGCTGGCCTTGAACTCACAGAGATCTGCCTGCCCCTGCCTCCCAAGTGCTGGGACTACAGGTGAGCACCACCACGCCCAGCCTGTTGTTGATGTTTTTGAGACAGGATCTTATTGAGTAGCCTTGACTGGCCCGGAACTTGCTATATAGACCAGGCTGGCCTAGAACTCACAGAGATCAGCCTGCTTCTGCCTCCTAGGTGCTGGGATTAAAGGTGTATACCACCACGTCCAGCTCTTCTGAGACTTTTTGAAAATATTATTTTGTGTCCAAATTCTCAAATGAAAGGGGATTTGGCAGAGATCCTCCACCCTGCTCCAGTTTCTATAAACAACCAAGGAAATCAGTTCCAAATTCATTCACACCCTGGGGAAGAAGGTTCTTGGGGAGAATCTCTGTCATATTTTCCCTACAGTTTGAATTTATTCCATTATCCTTCCTTCTTTTGACTCTCTCTTTTTTTCAGTTCTGTAGCAATCTGAGATAATAGACTAATACTTTCAGCCTGATCCAAGTTCACTGATCCTTGGACCAGTGAGGGTCACTGAAGAAGACAACCATTTGCTGTCTGAAGCCTTCAGCTCTCAGCATCTAAATTCCTCCTTTACGTGTCCAGAAAAGGCCAAGAGTTTTGTCTCTAGAGCTGGAAAAAGCAATACAGCGTCCCTAGAGAACTTATCAGAAGCATGTGTCAATCTGGATCCATCCCCTGTGTCCCCCAGCAGAAGAGGGAACTGTCTTCCTCATGGTATTCATAGAACCAACCCTGTGGGAGCCCAATGCCTTGATGTATAGATATGATGCCTGGAAAGGTCTGGAGAGGACACTTCTGCAACCATGGAAACTCAGACATGTCCTTCTGAAGTCAGAGTTTATGAGCTGGAGCAAAGGAGTACAGAACTGATGTTAGGCCCTTGCAGACAAACGGTCATCTTTTCTTAGCCAGACTTCTGCAAGAGAATTAAGTCCCACAGAAAATACATTGAATGACTATTTCTTTAATTCCCACTGTTGTCCATTTTGTACTGCTACAACAGAATGTCATACTGGGGAATTATTTATTTATTTTATTTTTTTGGAGACAGGTTTTCATGTAGCCTAGGCTGGCCTTAAATTTGTTATGTAGCCAAAGATGACTTTGAACTCCTGATTCTCCCACCTACACCTAAGTGCTAGGATCACAGGCATGTACACCATGCCTGGCTAGGTGGGGCAGTTTTTAAAGATCTGAAATATATTTTGGTCACAGTTCTAGAGGGTGTGAAATCTATATTGGAGGAGTTGCATTAAGAGGGATAACTTTTGCTTTTTTTTTTTTTTTTCTGTTCAGCCAGTTCACATAGAGGACAGGCACTGAGAAACCCTCCCCCTTCGGTTCACAGCTCCTTTAATCTGTCCCACAAGCACAGCCACTTTATAATTTTTTTTTTAAGGTCTCATTATGTAGCCCTGGCTGGCCTGGAGCTCACTGTGTAGACCAGGCTGGCCTGATCTCACAGAGATCCACCTGCTTTTGCCTCCTGGGTGTGGGGACAAAAGTTGTGCCCCACCATGCCTGCAACCAGGGCCTTCTTGCTGAATTATCTCCTGGCAGAAAGAGGGAGGAAGGCTGGAGAGAAAGAGCTAGCAGGTGTGCAAGAGGCAGCAGAACTTTGTGTGAGGAAGGCACTGACACAGCAGCAGCATTAATTCATTCAGTGTTTCCAGGACCAAACTTCTCCCATGTGGTCCCACCTTCCAACACCACCACACTGAGGATTAAGTCACTAACACATGAACAACAGGGACCCCATTTCAACCATCACCCTGCCAAAGATACCAAATAGCTAACCCCATTCTCAATCCGTAAAAAAGAAATTGCTTCATAGCATAATGGATACCTTGTCAGGTTGGAAGTTTTCGGTTTTGTTTCCAGGTCCTTCCTGCGATCCTTGCTTTAAAGAGCAGTATGCTGCTTCCAGGTTTAGTTTTAATATAAGACTTACAGGTCAGGCGTGGTGGCGCATGACTTTAATCCCTCCCCATACCTCTGTGAGACCGAGGCCAGCCTGATCTACATAACAAGTTCCAGACAAGCCAGGGCTACAGAGTGAGATGATGTCTCAAAAAATATTTGTCAGCATACAAAGTAATAGGTTTCATTATGGCACTCATGCCTATATATCATTTTACTTTGTTTTTATTCATTCCTCTCCGCCACTGCCTCCCCCCATCCCCTCCTCCAACCCTTGTAGAGAGGAGGTCCCATACCCCAAAAGCCCCTCCTGCTTTTGTGTCACATGAACTCCACTGCTCTCACTTTGCTCCTCTCCACCCCCAGCTCATGCCTTAGGAGCTCTTCCTCCTCGAGTTCATACTTCTTTCTTTTCCTTTGGTTCTTGAGATCATCCTATGCATCTTATGTTTTCTTATTTTTTTTCTTGGCTTATCATATTAGTCATTTTCCCATATCACAAGAAATTCTTCCTAAATATCATTTTCTGTGGATGTCTTCGTAGTCCATCATATGGCTGTGTTGAATCATTTGCCTATATTTGGACATTTACATGGTTCCCCATAAATACACTTTCCAAGGCCCCAAACAGATCCCCAGAACCTCAGCTCAAGCTCCTTCCCTTGGCCTTTGGCGCCCATCCCCAGAGAGATGAAACCAGCCAAACTAGATGATAAATAGAACCATTAACACACTGTTCTCCCAGGGGAACTTTAGAGCTCCCTGGTGAAACAAAATTCCCAAAGGAGAGAAGAGACTCCCTGGGCACTGGAAATGTGGGGGTGATGGGGAACCTGCTGGAAAGACACTTGGTAGCCTGGGGAAACATGAGGCCATGAATGTTATTTTTAAGAGGATCACGTTCCTGATGTTGGATTATCTGCCAAGCAGAGAGCACTTTCCCTCTCTCAGTCACCTCCCTGGGGATATGTCAGTGTGTATGCACCATGGATGAGCAGATGTGTCCAGTTTCTTTCTGCCTTGGAAGGAAGACTTGTTATTCAAAAAACAACCAGGGACTGTGGACATAGCTCATTTGGTTTGGTTATGGTGCCTGCTACTCAGGCATGAGGTCCTGGGTTTGATCCCAAGTGCTGCAAAACAAAAGAGCAGCAACAAAAAATACAACAAGAACAAAAACGCAAGGCTTCAGCCTTGGACATTTTCTAGTCTAGGCAGTATATCAAGAAAGGAGCTTAACTAATCTACCTTTCTGCTTCTGAGGAGGCCCTACTCCAAAGACATTCTTAAATACCATACCAAATGCACACAATACCAAGTCAGGAAACAAAGTAAGTTCCCCTTCCATGAAAACCACAAAGAAGCATCTTACACTTAGAAGCCCATCATACTGCATGGCCAAGTTCATCCAGGCACAATGATGACAGAGCCTAATACCTCTTGTCTGTGTCAAGCTTTGTGGGCTCCCTCTATATCACTCATGTGAGCCTCTTGTGGGCTTGATAAAGCAGATGAGCTTTTTAAAAAAAAAACAAAACAGGCCAGGCGTGGTGGCCCACACCTTTAATTCCAGCACTTGGGAGGCAGAGGCAGGTGGATCCTCTGTGAGTTCGAGTCCAGCCTGGTCTACAGAGTGAGTTCCAGGCAGCTGGAGCTACAGGGAGACCCTGTCTCAAAAAGACCAAAAAAAAAAAAACCCAGTATTTTTATTTTACATGTATCAGTGTTTTGCCTGCATATGTGTAAGCATACCCTTCCAGTACAATGCTTGGGGAGGTCAGAAGAGAGGGTCAGATCTCCTGGAACTGGACTTATGGGCAGTAATTAGCTGCTACGCTGGGTCCTGGGAACTGAACCCTGGTCTTCTGCAAGAGCAGCCTCTGAACCATCTCTCCATCCTCAATGCAGATGATCTTTAACCTACCTGACAGATATAGATACTGAGCCTGCCAGAGGTCATATAGCTGCTGCCCAGAAAGATCTGGATTCTTTCTCTTGACCTTAAGTTGCAATAAACTGTACATAACTTAATAGAAAAAAAAAGAGAGAGAGAGAAAAACAATGGGGCTGGAGAGATGCCTCAGAGGTTAAGAGCACTTACTGCTCTTGCAGAGGACCTGGGTCAGGTTCCCAGTACCCACATGGTGGCTAACAACTGTCCATAACTCCATTTCCAGGGATTCTAACATACTCTTCTGGACTATGTGGGCACTGCATACACATGTTGTGCTTACATATGTACAGGCAAACACTCATGCGCATAAAATAAGAAATAGTAATAATAAATAAAATATTTTAAAAACAAAAACAACTCATAGAAAACAAAGCTCTGTCCCTCCACTAGAATGCAGTGTATTTGCTAGTTTTCATTTATGAAACATACCATGTGTCTCAAATTCTAGGCAAGGTGCTGCTCAGTCCTTGTGGCTACCTCAGCCTAGTTTCCCAACCCTTTGCACACCCTGAAAACCCACTGTCCTCTGAGATGGGCTCTGGCCTGGCCTGCATTGCCTGCCCACAGATTCTGATGAACGGCTGCCAGGAAGTACTCTAGGGGCTTCTGTGGTCACTCCTTCCCCTGCAAGCCTGGCAGAAGCCTGGGGTTCTGGCTCCCTTTCCCAAACCTCCTTACCTCCTTTCCATAGACTTTAGATTCATTCACTCAGCTTCTCTCTTCTCTTCAACTCTCTCTCTCTCTCTCTCTCTCTCTCTCTCTCTCTCTCTCTCTCTTCCCGCTTTTCTCCCCAAGCCTAGCTGTAGAAGCTAAAGACACTGGAGCCAACCATGCAAGTGTAGGGTTTTTACAGCTCATCACAAACAAGTAAACACAAGGAAAAAAATGGATCCTCATGAGCAGTGTCAGCCACCCTAGGTGGCCGTCCCATACAGCCACCACATGTTACATGTATGAATGTTTTGCCTGAATGTATGTAAGTGCACCTGTGCATGCTTAGTGCCCACAGAAGCCAGAAGATGGTATTGGAGCCCCTGGAACTGGAGTTGTGGATGGTTTTGAGCCTCTATATAAATGCTGAGAACCAAACCCGAGTCCTCTGCAAGAGCCACCAGTGCTCTTAACTGCTAAGCCATCTCTCCAGCCCCAGAAATTTTATTTTGAGGTACCGAAGAGAGCTCAGTCAAGCAAGTGCTTTCTGTACAACCAAGAAGATCTAGTTTGATCCCCAGAGCCCACACAAAAAAGCCAGACACGAGTGCATGTACTTGTAAGCCTAGGGCTGAGGAGTGGAGACAGGTATATTCCTTGTGTTGTGCCAGCTAGTCTAGCCTGGGTGAGCTTCAAGCTGATGAGAGACCTTCACAAAAAACAAGGTGGATGGCTTCTGAGGAACAATACCTTAGGTTGCCTTCTGACTTATGCACACACACACACACACACACACACACACACACACACACCTCCCTGTGAGCATGCGACACACCACACATACAAAAACAATTTTGTTTTGATTACATGTTGAAGTGGCACTACTTTGAATGGGTTCAAAGCATACACTGTTAAAATTAATTTCACCTGTTTCATCTTTTTTGTAATATGGCTACTAGAACATTTTGGGTGCTATCAAAAAAAAGTGCAGTTCAGTGAATTTTTTTCACTATATTCACAAAGTTGTGCAATTAATACCACTACCTAATTCCAGAATATTTTTAATAACCTGCCCCCAAAACTTTTATAGAGCTAGCAAGATGATTCAGTGGGCAGGTGTGTTTGCCACCAACCCTGATGACTGGAGTTTGATCCCCAGGAACCACATGGAGGAAGGAGAGGGCAGACTCCCCCAAGTTGTCCTCTGACCTCCAAGTTTATTGTGGTAGTGTGCACATCCTTGGGCCCAAACAAATAAATGCATTTATCAAAAAAAAAACAAACAAACAAAAAAAAAAACAACCAGGGCTTGAGAGATGGCTCAGTAGTTAAGAACACTAGCTGTTCTTACAGAGAACCTGGGTTCCCACCACATGGCTGCTAACCACTGTCCTTAACTCCAGTTCCAGGAGACCTGACCTCCAGAGTCTCATCTGGCCTCCGTGGGCATTACATGCATGGGTGCACTTACATGCAGGCAAAACACTCATATACATTTAACACTCATATACATTTAAAATAAAACAGGAGTTGGAGAGATGGCTCAGCAGTTAAGTGCACTGGCTGCTCTTGCAGAGGACCCATGTTTGATTCCTAGCACCCCGATATAGCGGCTAAACTATCTGTAACTCCAATTCCAGGAGATCTGATGCCCTCTTCTAACCTCTGCGGGCATTGTATGAAATGGATGCACTTACAAACATACAGACAATACTCTCATACACATAAAATTAATAATAATAAAAAATACCTGTAACCACCAGCATTCACACTTCCAGAACTCCCCTAGTCCCTCGAAAACAAATCCATTCTGGCTTCCTTGGATTTTCACATGCATTTTCATTTTCATACTACATGTAGTCTTTGGGGTCTGGTTTCTTTTTTTTATTTATTTATAT